GATGTTTGGGTTCAATCTGCTCTATTTACCTGAGGTCCGTCTTGTTTCTTTCACCCATAACAATGAGATGAGACAGTTGAGGCTCAGAGGGGTTAAATAACTTGTCCAAAGACACATAGCCATTATGCAGCAGAGCCTAAGACTGGATTTTATCTTGTCCTTTAAAAAGAAAGTTATTGGTTGATATGGGATGGGACTGAGAATTGAGCAACTGTCATCCATTCTCCTTTATATGTCTTTTTCTCTCTCCGTTTTTTTTTTTTTTTTGGATACTGAAAATGGTTTCTTGCTTTCTTATCCCAGAAATGTAAGTTGGTTGGTCAACAGGTAGTAAAGAGATCTCTAGCGAGAGAAGGGTGAGGTCTGAGATGGGTCTGAGTTGTTCTTGGCTAAGGGTTCCTTCCCAGGCCTTGCCCTGTACTCAGGGCCCACCCCCGACCCGTGGAGCTGCCCAGGAGCCAGGTCCCAGCTCTGGCTTGGGTTCCTGAGGCGCAGGAGGAGCAGGGCTACCAAGGCTTCTAGATCTGTTCCTGATCATTCCTCTGTCCGGTCTGCTGCAAGCCTGCCCCAAACCCTTGGAGTCCTAACCACTTTTCCTGAGAGAAAAGTAGTTTATAAAATGGAATGGAAGCTTGCAATTCCCTATGGGTGGGATAAGTTAATGTTTACTTGCCCAAAACTTTTCCTAATCAGCAGTTTCTTCCTACTTCAGATTCCCCTTTGCTGAACTCGAAAGAAGTTAATACAGTATCTAAATCGCTTGCCTCAGCCTGTGCCAGATAGCAGGCGGCTAGTTGTGGCTCACTTTCTAGATTCCAGACCACCTAATTCTGCACCCTAATCAACTTGGAGGTGCTGAGTGGGCCTTTGTGTGGTGCAGTTCACGTGGCGAGGACCCACTAGACACTGACATTCTCAGACATGGAGGTCCCTTCCTTTGCTGGTTTTACAGCTATGGACTCATTTTCCTTCCTGGCTGGTAGCAAAGAGGAAGGTAAAGTCCTGTATTAGCAGGAGCCCCAGCCTCAGACATTGTCACAGATAGAAAGCTGACAGCATCTTGAGAGGCCTGCGAGTGAAGGAAGGATGGAAGGAACACACCTTTTCTTTCCATAAACAACATTCCCTGCCTTTGTAGCTAGAAATGAGCCATTTTCTTGGTATGGGAAGGCTGCCTGCCCATAAGGGTCAAATGCAAGGCTCTGTGAATAGTCAAGTGTCCAGAGAGAATGAAAACTGTGTTGGCCAGTACACCCACTGCCACGGTACAGAGCACATTAAGTCCTCTGCCTGCTCCTCTCCTGGGCTGGTGGGTGCCCCTGCTTAGGCCCAGGCACACAGTCTAATGCTTTCCATGTGGTTGCACTCCCTGCCACCTGCCTAGAGGCCACCCTGCTTTTTGCTCGGCCCTTTGGAGTTCGCCCAGGATTCTGGCTCTTTCCCAGCTCCTTTGGGTTGCTCCTTTCCCATGTGTGCTTTCTCCAGGAGGCCATCTGGCTGCCTCCAGCTTCCTCAGGAGCTTCACGCACTTAGACCCCCACCTCGCTGGTGAGCACAGGCTCCTGAGGCAGGTGCTATGTCCCTTTGGGGATGAACAGACCCACTGAATGCTGCCGTGTGCCACGTTTGCCTCTGAGACCCCAAATTCCTTGAGGGCAGGGATTGTCCCATCGTGCATCACCGACTTGGAGCTCTAACCTGGACAGTAGTGAGGGAAGAAAATGTCTGCCAACTGCCAGAAGGGGAGTGGTTGGTGACTCCGTGGCTTCTCTGTTCCAGTAAGAGTGCCATGCTCACAGATGGAGGCTGGAGGCCTCACACCGATGGCACATTTGGTCCTTCAAAGGTCCTTCCCATGTCTCACATCCCTGACCCCTCACAGCCGCTCTGTGACAGGCTGGCAGGGCCCAATCTTACCCAGGTATCCTTTCATCACCTCAGGCCCAGAAGGTCTGGACTGAGCTCATCAGCATGCTCTGGCTCCTGAGCACACCAGCCTTACCGGCCCAGCCTCCTTGGCTGCAAACACAATGCACCCTTGACTCATATTTCACTTCATACCATCTCCCACGGGTCCACCCAGTTTGCTGTTTGCCATGTACAAACTCATCACTGGGCAGAGGGCCCATGGGCCTTCCTTTGTGGCCTGTTGCAGGGGGATGTAGCCTGGTTCCTCTGGGCTTGGCACCTTCTAACTGACCTCCCACCTTTCACCCTGGTAGTGAGGCCCCAAAGGGGCCAGTCGGCTGAAATATGAGAGCTTTCTTTTTAAAACCTCTGTTGTATTTACATTGGAGGCCACTTGATTCTGTATACTGGCATTTGGACCCCTGAAGAGGTGGGTGTGATTCCCAAGCTCCTCTTGTTATTTGCCCTTATCATATGTGATTCTGTGCAAGGTTTTGACTCAAGAGCAACTGGGTGTTCCTGTATAATCTTGTCAACCATTTTGATATTTGCCCTTGTATACTTCTCTACCTTTCCTGCATCACCCCCTCTGCTTAGAATAGCATTTTTCCCCTTATCTTCTGAGAAAGCTCCTACTCATCCTTCAAAACCCAGGGGAACTGCATACCTGCCTCTGTCAGCATGCCTCATATGTTCGTACTCTGTCTTCTCCACTGGTCTACATCGTGCATGGGGACAGGGACTAGGTCTGATCGATAAGTATCCTCCAGTGCCCAGCACAGCAGGGTTCAGGGAATGTTGGCTGTATGAATTCATCCATTTATTCACTAGTATTTACCTATAAAGTTGTGCTAGACATTCTGCTAGGCACTGGGCACATGGGGTGAACAAGACAGAGGGTCTCCCTGTTTCCATCGAGAAGCCTTTAGCAAGCCCAGTTAGCAAGGAGGCAAGTATATGGATGCAATACTTTGGAATCACAGAGCTTAGATGGAGGTGTGCAAGGACGGCCCCTCTGAGAAGATTCTTTGAAGCTGAGACCCGAGGGATGGGAATAAATCAGCCACACAGAGAGCTGAGGAAGTGAGCTCAGGTCAGAGGAGACGGAGGTCTTGCAGTGTTTGGGGGAGGACAGGAAGCATGAGGAGCAATGGGACAGACTCATCACTGGGCAGCCATTTAGGGTTGGCTTGGCCATACTCCGTGGTGAGAGTAAGCAGTTTTGATTTTTCCTCAGGAGCAATGAGAGGCCCTCAGAGGGAGGGACTTAACACTTTCAGGCTCCATATGGCTGAACAGGTGTCCGTGTGTTGATCATTGCCCTGCCTTGCTACCTCCCTTCTCCTGTTCCCTCTTCTTTCATCCCCACCCAAGCTTGCCTCCATTCACACCTGGAGATTGCACACTGTCTGGGGTCCTTTGCAGTCTGGGCTGTGCTGCTCACCGCAACACAGCTCTGATCCTTGGGGCAGCCTTGTCTGGCTCCAGCCATGGCCCGGAGGCACAGTGAGGCTCCCCCACCTCCACACACTGGCCTTCTCGTTGCCCTGAGCTGCTGGTGCAGTGGCCCCCACTCTGCTGAGACCCAGGGCTCTGACCCTTCCTTGGCTTCTGCACCTGTGAGTCACTGCCCTCCCCCTCCGAAAGCACAGCAACTTCTCTCTCTTTGCTCTGCCTACCTCCTGCACAGGATCCAGCCTTTTGAAATTAGCTGTGCTCTTCCTCCCTAAACGTATCCCATTTTAGTTTAAAGTCACTCATCCTGTGAGCTATCCTGGCACAAATACATCCTGAGATGATCTCCTCACTTCAAACAAAAACAAAAATAGCTAACAAATATTGAGCACTTACTATGTGCAGAATAATGTACTGAGCATTTTCTATGAAATATTAATTCCTCACTTAATCATTAACCCTGTGCATTAGGTTCTGTTGTTAGCACCCTTTTACAGATGAGGATACTGAGGCTCAGAGATCACATATTAAATGGTGGAGCTGGCTTTGAACCCAGGCTGTTTTGCTGCAACTGCCAGGTAGAGTCCAGTGTAGTTCCTGTGGCCCTAAAATCTTTATCCACACCATCTCCAAAGCCACTTTTCTGTGGTTGCTCACTTTCTTCTCTGCACTGCAAAGGTCCAGCCTCACAGGGAAAATGAGCAGAGACGCTCAGGACTTGCCATTTTCCAGCTGTGCCATCCCTGAGCATGGGAGCCATGCTCTGTCCCCACAGCACTGCTGCCCATTGGGCACTTACCGAGGTTTTACTGAATGAGCAAACAACAACTCCTGCCTCCAGTTTATAGACTGAGCCATGTGTCTTCTTAGCATACATGGTGGGAAGCAGGAAAAATGAGAAGAGGCTGCAGGAAGACAGTTTAGCTTGAAGACTTTTCCTAGGGACATAGTTGTCCAGAGATGGAACCAACTGCCATTTCTCCAGTAGAGGGGAGACCCGGGGTTAAAGGAGTGGCTGGGCTGACATCCTTGGAGAAGCTCTCCAGCTCTGAGGAGGTGGGATCCTGCACTTTGAACGGTACGGGGACAGTAGAACTAAGTGGAAAGAGAGAGCGCTGCTGGTCCTGAGGACGGTTCTCTCCCATTTCCTATGCTGGGCACATTTGACCATTCGAGAAGTGGAAGTGACAGGGGCTGCTCAGCCTGGATCACACCTGCTCAAGGGAAGCGTTGAGGTGTGGGACAAACGCAGATCTAAGCCAGCTTCGACCACCCTGACCCCCACCACTGCAGGGCAGGTCCTGAGAGAGTCCCCGCTGGCTGCGCTGCTTCCCTGACACGTAGCCAAACCTTCCCCAGTGGTGGCTGGAGCTTCTGGAGCCTGGGGCTGTAAAGGGGGTGAGGAGTGGCAATTGCTGCCCTACTGTTCCAGGTCATTCTGGAGAGCCCAAGCAGCTTTTAAGTATAGAAGCAAATGGGATCATGTCCTAAGGATTCCTGGAGAAAGAGTGCTGAGCTCCTAGGATTGGCTACTAGGATTCTTCAGAGACAGTGCTGCATAAAGATGGAAGAAGAGGGTTTTGAGGTCTTGTGTGGAACTCTGTAATTTTTCCTTTGTTCTGTATTTGAATTTTCAGTACAAAAAGGAAATGAAGAGAGGAGTCATGGCTTCTGATGCAAGTCATGCGCTGGAAGTGGCCCTGGAGCAAATGGACGGGATCATTGCAGGTGCGTCTGATGAGTCGTCCTCCACACTGGAGCAACTGCTCTCTCACTTGACTTTTCTTTTTGGCACAGGGCAAAGCCCCTTGGGAGATTTATTTTATTTTTTTGTGTACACCATCTCTTGTTTTAAGAGTATAGACTTGTAGAACCCTTTGCTATCAAGTGTGAGTGTAGGTCTCTACTGATAGAGTGGACATTCCATGCGTTTACATGTATCTGTCACCGTTTGGATCCTGGCTATGAGGCAGTTTGGGCGATAGGAGGCTGACTTTACTGTAAGTTTTCAGAGCATACCATGGCTTATCACAGGTGAGCTGAAACTTGAAGTGGAGCTTCACTTCCCCAGCTGGTCTTAAGTGTGTTTGGGAGTCAGGAGGCAGTTCCATATTGACTCATCTCATCACCTAAAGAATGTTCTTCATGCCATACTGTTTTTTATCCACCACAACTGTTTGGCTCAACATTTGCATTAGCCAATTAGGAATTCTCTAGAAGAGATCCAGCAAAACTGAGAATTGAAAAGGATGGCCAGTGGGCTGGCCATTTGGGCTGATTAACTTCTTGGTGGGCACAACCGGATTATATTGGATAGAACAATCCTGTCACTGGAAATCTTTCCCAAAGGTTCCAGGTCTTCTTTCTGTCCTGACCTGACACAGGTCTTACTGCTGACTGGGCACGCTTCTTTGGGACCTTGCTCCCCCTGTGTGGAGCGGTAGCTGGAGGAGGTGAGGGAGGAGGTCTGGGCCGAGGGTGGCTAGAGCCCAGAATGTGCACAGGTACCTGACTTTCTGCTTCACAGGCATTTGCTTTTTTCCTCCATCCTGCAGAGACACGCCTGACTCATTGAGGGTTCTGGGTGTTTGCCCTGGGGTGGGGGAGGTTGTCTGTGTGTCCAGGCTTCTTCATGTTGTTGGGAACAGCATAACAGGTTCTGGCTGTCATCTGTCAGCCTCTTCATTTATCAGTGAACAGAAGGGCTCTTGGGAGGCCGTGACTGGTGTTCTGCTTTTCAGAGGCGCCATAGATTGGGATGTCCTGTTCTAGGTTAGGGGCTGTTGAGATCAGTCAAGAATGTGGATTTCTTAGCAGCCTTTTAGAAAGTCTCATCCAGAAGCTCTCAGGCTCATGTGCATTGAGGGTAGATCCACACGGTCATGTTAAGTCTTCCCTAGGGACACAGTGGAGTTCTTATTTATTCAGACCCTTATTTCACCCACTCGAGTTTTTGGTTTTCATTTGGCATAAGGGCTGCATGTGCCTTGCTTCCTAGCCTTACCTGGGGCCTACAAGATTAATGCACAGTCTCCTGAGGGGTTTCTGCTCTGTTCTTGCCCCTTAGACTGTCATCCACAGGGCGGCAGAGCAATCCTTAAAATGTGCATCAAACCACATCACTCCTCTCCTCGAAACTCCTCAGGATAAACTCTAACGTCCTCATCACAGCCAGCAATTCTGTTCATGATTTGGCCTTTGGCTGCATCTCCTATCACTTTCCTCCTCTTACCCTAGTTGTGTAGCACATCTGCCTCCTGTACCAGAATGTAAGTAAGTTCCCTGAGGACAGAGAACTATCTCCAGGGCCTCGATTGGCTGCAGCACATTATAGGTGTTGCATAAACATCTGTCATGTATATTCTATTTATATCTGTGAATAGACTTTCCTTGTCATGGGTCAAGAGGCAGTTACTGGTGGTGAAGGGGGGAGCCTAGTAAACATAATGTTCTTCATGTAATTGTACATGAATGATATCAAAATAACAAACAAACAAAAATAAAAATAAAAATAAAAGAGGCAGTTACTGGTTTCTCTGCATATCCTCTATCTGGCTGTACCATGTACCGGCAGCTGTTTATCTCTACTTGTACCTTTGATTGACTGATTGTTTTCAGTCAAAATCAAATTGCTAATTTTTTTTGAAGACTCAGTGGTTGGCACATCCTATGAACCATGACCTCAGTAGTGATTGGTTCACACAGATGTTTGCAAGTTGCTCTTTGGCAGGTAATTGAACATAGAGGTTATTACTGCTTGGAGGGTATCCATTCTAAGCTGTTTGTGATGAGGAGGACAATAGTTATTGAATGCCTTCGTGCAGGCCATCTTTGCTCAGGATTATTACTACCATCCTCATTTTCAAGATGGTTGGGCCAAATGGAACCAAAGAATTGAGGAATTTTTGTGGCCATCAGTGTGGAATACGGTGTTAGACTGTTAGGGTTTAATCCCATCTCAGCCCCTTACTGTAGGATCTTGGGAAAATTGCTGAATCTCTCTGAGCCTCAGTTTCTCTCTCATATTACTGGGATGATTAAATGAACACAAAGAAGGCACTTAGTAAGTGCTCATTTGGTGTAAGTTCTGTTTATTTTGTTGATACTAGTACTGACATTGTTATTCCTGCCACCCAAGGTTCATAGTGCTGGTAAATGGCAGAACTAGGGTGTGAGTCCAGCGCCACCTGAATCTCTTCTGGGCACCTTTCATCCCACATTGGTCTTATGATGGTGGGTAGTAGAGCCCCCAGGGCTCCGAGGGACTATCTGCAGGAGAAAGGAGGCCAGTTCTGTTCTGTTCTTGCTCCCAATCCCTTAACCAGCGGGGCTTTGCTCTCATCTCTCTTACACATTAGTTCCAAGTCAGGGTCCCTTTGCTTAAAGGGTGGCACAGCTAGAAGTATGTTTGCAGACTGTGGCACTGCATCATGATACCACAGATCCTGCAGAATGACATGTTGGTATGACTTGTCATCTGTATTTCTATTCTCTTACCAATTTGAAGTTGAGTGATATCAAGTAGTGCTAACATTACCAAAGCACAAACTTTTCCACCTATTAAGGTACTCAAATGACTGGAGTACCAAGGACTGGATCCTTGCACTTTATGAAAATACAGTTCCCACTTGTTTCAGTGAAAGAAATTTTATGTGCTTCCTACATGCCCCAAATAGCAACCATTGAAGCAAAAACAACATGGGTTCCTACTAAAAAAGATGTGATTCCTTCAATAATTATTCATAATCATAACACTACATAATAGAGGATTTCCCTTTATTTAATTACTCTATAGAATGATAGGCTACTGTTCACTTTCCAAAACTCTTTCCAAAGAGTATCAGTGTTTATGTAATTAAGCTCTAAGGCAAAAAAAGATCTCCTTCCTCCAGTCGATATAAACAACACAGAAGATTATCACGCCTATGAACAACCAGGCCAGGAATACTCAGAGGGGACATACAGATGCACGAGTGCCGAGTACGCCTCTCCAGAACCACAGTGTGGTCGCCCTTCTGTCCAGGCACTCAGCGGGCTCTGGAGGTGTGAGAAAAAGCAATGCCTTGTAAGCAGAATAGGACTATTAAATGGAACTCCATGTAAAGTTGAATTCTTGAAACCTGAATGGGTGTATCCCGGTGTGACTACTTGATTGGAACCCTTGAGTTTCATGTCAGAAAGTTGGGAAGAGGGACTGTTAAAAAACCCAGGACCTTTACAAAAATGATCTGCTGTTTCTAATACAAAATACCATTGTAGCTTCCAGTATGATGTTAACCTTTGATCTGGTCTTCCTCCTCATGAATCCCTATGATTTGGCCTGCTAATAGCACTGTAGCTGAATTACACAGTTGACAATCGAAATTGAACTGTATGTAGCTTAATTCCATCCCTCTGGATGACGCAGAGCCGTGGCCACATACGCTGATCTTGCACAGATCCAGCGGTTGCCTGTGAGGGCCCCTCCGGCCTCAGGACCAGGGCATCCTATGGGCAGGACACGGCGGGCCACTTACTCCTCTTTGCTGTAGCAGGAGGTTTCTCCTGTGGTTATCTTCAAGCTGTACCCATTGATGAGGAATCATTAAAAAGAGTGTCATAACAGTTAAAAAAGGATTGCTCTGTCTAGGCCTTTCTGCCAACTCTGACCAGTGTCTGGTGTGTTTTTGTTGTTGTTTTTTAAAAGATTTTTTAATTGAGGGCAGAGAAAGTTCTGGTCAGGACAGATTATTCAACCTGCCCCCTGGCTGATTTCAGCTGTGGTGTTAAAGGTTGGTGATGAGTCTGTGCTCTGCCACAGTTCATTAGTTGTATCCACACCTTCTCTAAGGTGGATCAGCAGACAGCAGTCAGCAGTAAGCAAGTGGCAGAACCGAAACTCTCCTGTTTCCCATTCAGGACTCAGGTTGAGGGTGCCCTGCTGTGACTTTGACCTGAAGAGAGTCAAGAGCGGAATTTTGGAGATGTCTAGCAGGGCTGAGATGTCAAAGGCTGCCCTTTGTGTAAAGAGGCCAAAATAGCCCACAGTGGCAAGCACTGTTCAGCAGCCATCATTCTGTTTCCCTTTATGGGAAGAGCCCACTGCCACTCCTTTATGGCAGTATAGCCTCATTTTCTATTCTCTGAAAGAGTAAAACTGGAATTGTCATTTGTTCCTTAAATACCTGCTATAATTTTAGCTATAGAAAGTGACCTGCACAGCCTTGTAGACCTAGAATTTTCTTGTTGACAGATTTTCTTTTTTTAATGGTTATGGACAGTCAGGTTTTAATTTCTTCTCAGTTGAGTTTTGGCAGGTTACATTTTCCTAGAAATTCATGCATTTTACCAAGGTTTTCAGTTTTGTTAGCATAAAGTTGGCTGTCATATTGTATAACTTTAAAGATCTGCTTCACTTGTTATATCTCCTTTAACTCCTAGTATTGCTTAATTGTGCCATCTCTTTATTTTTTTATCAGATCTTGCCAGAGTTAATTGCTGTTTTCGAAGAACTGACTTTTGCCTTTGCCCATCAGTTTCCATTATATGTGTGTGATGTGTTTGTGTATATTTATTCTACAAATAGATAAATATGTATATGTATTAGTCCAGGTTCTGCAGAGAAACAGAACCAACAGGGTGTGGGGGGAGGGCGGGGGGTGGAAAGAGAAAAAGAGAAATCTGTGAGGGTGAGAGTGTGATTGATTTTAAGGAATTGGCTACCATGATTATGGAAGCTGACAAGTCCA